TTACTTAAGACACAAAGAATTTGTTCAATAAATACTTCATGGTTTATCTGAAGTCTCCTGGCCTCTGTGCTACTATGATTTTTCTACTGTTCCATGATTGTAGATTGAATGAAGTCATATTGTCACTCAAACCTCATTTGCACTCATAGTTACATTGATCAAAATATCTTCCTCTGGGGCTGGGAAGGTGACTCAGTTGTAGAGCGCTTGCCTTGCATGTATGAGGCCCTGGGTTGGATTCCTCAGCACCACATAAGCAAAAAGAAAAAAGCCGGAAGTGGCGCTGTGGCTCAAGTGATAGAGCGATAGCCTTGAGCTGAAGAGTTGAGGGACAGCGCCCAGGCCCAGAGTTCAGGCCCCATGACCGGACCCCCCCAAAAAAATATCTTCCTCCTAGACAGACTCAGATGGTCTGCTCTGCAGTTCCCCAGACCAGTAACCCCTAAGGATAGCTCACACAGCCTAAAAGGAAGTTTTAGTTCAGGAATGTATCACTGTGGGAGGCTTATGTGTATCTTGAAGCAGTGATAAACTCCAACATCCCCAGGCTCTACCTTGCTGATGTCAGTGTTAAATCTATGCTTGACCCACAGCCAGTGAATCTGTTGGGAACCACAGAAAATCAGTTAGAAACTGTGTATATCAGGAATTGTGGAGACCGGCCTGGCTTCTGCAGGTACCAATTCAGATAAGTGTCTCCATTGCTATGCAGGAGGCTCTGACTAGACCTGTTGGAGATGGAGGCTGGATCTCCCAGCGTGACAGGCAGGGAGACTGGAGTCTGGTTTATCACATCTCCACTTGATCCTGAAATTAGAATAAGACAGAAGTGCAAGGTTATTCACAAGCATAGACATGTTGATATTAGTTGAATTTTGATATATTGCCTGTTTTCGTATTTCATACTGATTACTAATCTAAAAATATAAAAGATTATAAAGATATTTCTAAAATATAAAGAGGTCTCTAGGAGTCACTGACTATATTTTCATCTAGCAATCTTCACCCAAGCACAGTTTTAGCTCTTTCTGGAATGTTCTTCACTCTCTCACACCTAACTATCACTTTCCCAACATGGATAACAGGATCTTCACAGATAGGGCACAACTGGACCCTTAGATATCACCTTTTCGCCCACTTTCATTCCTTATCTCCCTTTGCCCTTACCAGGGATCCAGAGCATTAACAGCCCCTGGAGTCGATAGAAGGACTTCATTTTTAAGAGTTAAATGAGGAGTGTTGACAGGTCAAGGCAAGTTCAGATCTTAGAAAGGAAGGTCCTCCTTAGGGAGCAATATGCAAATCTCCAGGTGGGTGCAACAGCATAGGAAGAGCCAAGGGGAAGGTAAGGCCTGCTCTTAGGAGAAAAGTGATACCAAATATGCTCTGTGTTTGGTGACAACCAATAAAATCCTTGATTCCTGCAGCACTGGGAAGAAAGACCCCACTGTGAAGGAAGATAGGGTGTACATGGCTCTGACACCCTAAAACATCATCAGAGACCAAAGGTATGCATGTTCATGTCAAGGAGAGTCTGTAGGAAAGGAATGAGCACAATTCCCGGCTCGCCTTAAACTCGAGCAGAAGGGCTAGAGAAAAACACTGTACTCACCAGCAGCAGCAAGGATCCTCAAGGGAGATGAATAGTTTAGCTATATAAAGTGGCATCTTATGCCCATAGTTACTAAGTTATATGTTCAGGAATCTGAGCTACAAGTGTTAGAACTTCTGTTTCCAAAGGAAATGTAACATAAAGAATTGATAAGAAGAACAAAAATTTCTGCTATTAGTAGTGATCTAAATGCATTTATTTATAAGATTAAAGGACAATGCCCTCTTTCTGACAGAAGCATATAATTCCAGTATAGATAGATAGATAGATAGATAGATAGATAGATAGATATAGATGTATACAGATGTATGTATATATATATATATATATATATATATCACATTTTCTTGATCAATTCATCTATTGAGGGGCATCAGTGTTGGTTCCATACCTTAGCTATGGTGAATAGTGTTGCAAGGAATACAGTTGTGCTGGTAACGTTAATGTGGCCTTGTTTGTGGTCACGTGAGTAAATACCCAGAAGTGGGATTGCTGGATTGTAGGGAGTTCTATTTTTAATCTTTTGAGGAACCTCCATACTGCTTTCCATAGTGGTTGAATCACGTTATGTTCCCACCATCAGAGTAGTATCTGGCCTCATCCCTGCCAACATCTATTATTATTTGTTTTCTTAATAATGGCCATTGTAACTGGGGTGAGGTGGAATCTCAATGTGGTAGTGAATTTCATCTCTCTTATGACCAGAGATGTTGAACATTTCTTCAGGTGTCTATTGGCCATTCTTATTTGCTCTCCAAAATAGACTCTTAATTCTTTAACCCAATAATTACTGGGCTGATTTTTCTTTGAGGATTTTTTTGGAGGGGTGTTTATTGAGCGTTAGGTATATTTTTTATATGAGGCCTTGTCTGTTGTATAGCTAGTGAATATCTTCTCCCAATCTGTGAGATTTCTATTTATCTTGCTGGCTATGGTGTTTGCCATGCAGAAGCTCTGCAGCTTAATATGATACCATTTATCCATCCATTTGATTCGCTGTGTTTCTGGATCTTTATTTAGAAAGTTTTCACCTGGATAAAGGAGCCCTAGAAATTCCTTTGCAAGAAAATGTAAAGACTTAGGATAAACTATATTAAGTGAAATAAGCAGCCCCAAAGAAACATAGGCTCCATAATTTCTTTCATTTGTAATAATTAGTATATGTCTGGTATTGTCCTTGCAGAGGATCACAATAGATCAATAGCTACATACATACCACCATATAAAATGATGCTAAACCAAATGAACTTCAAGATATAGAAACAAGAGGTCTTTTTTGTTGTCTTTATTGCGGTCTATATACTGTATCAAGTTCCTTCTTTTTATTATATATTTTTTAAATTTCCCTTTGGCTTATCCCCTGTAGTCACTGTTTATATTCTGGAACCATGCATCTTTTATACACGTTTAAATGACTTGAGAAGAGAAGGAGAATAACAAAATGGTGAAACAAGGACAAAGGGTGACCAATGCAACAGTGATACTCACAGGACACTATGCTGGAAATGAACTTTATAACTTCGGGGTGGGTGGGTTGGGTGGAGAGATAGTAGGAGATGAAAGAATGAATAACAATATTTGACAAGAAATGTTCTCATTACCCTACTTATGTAACTGTTTCCCTTCTGTACAGTACCTTTACAACAGAATGAAATTAAAAAGGATAAAAGAAAAATGTTATAAAGTTTTACTTCAAAGTGTGACTATATATTCAATGTAATGAGTTTTAACATCCATTATCTGTCCTGTTAATCTTCCACACTGTATTTGCACAACAAATTGCTCACAGAAATTCTTAAATCTTCCCTCTAGAGAGTAAAGGGAGAAAGTGATCAAGATATATTCCACTTCTATACTGTTAGGTTTTTTTAACCCTTTTTTAAACTATGTAAAGACAAATGTAGGTATATAATTCTGGTTATCTTAAATTAACATAAAATCTTTTAATGTCTCCATTCCCAATCTGAATTAACCAGTCTCTGCTTATTTGTCACAGAGAGTTCAGTCCCTACTTCTTGTCTCCAAGGATTCTACTCTGTCATGTGGCAAAATATCACATGTTAAGGAGGAACAGGTGGAGAAGGAAGTTGGTGCTGATGCTCCAGAAGACCCCACATGGTCATCTGAAGGACCTCCTTGTAGGAAGTGATTAGATCATTGGAGTTCCTGTTCTCAGAAGGGCTATATCTCCTCTCATGGAGTGAGTCAGTTTTCACAGAAGTTGCTTGTTATAAACCATATATTTGGACCCTTCTAACTGCAGCTTGTTTTTATTTTTATTTATTTATTTATTTTGTTTGGTCGTGGGGCTTGAACTCTGGGCCTGGGCACTGTCCCTTATCTCTTCAGCTCAAGGAGAATGCTTTACCATTTGAACTACAGTGCCACTTCCAGTTTTCATGTGGTTTATTGGAGGTAAGACTCTTAAGGTCTTTCCTGCCCGGGCTGGTTTGGAACCTTGATCCTCAGATCTCAGCTTCCTGAGTGGCTAGGATTACAGGCGTGAGCCACCAGTGCCCAGCTACTACTTGTTCTCTTTACATTAATACAGCATATTAGTTGACAAACAGAACAGGCCTCACCTGAGTAGAAGCAGATGAGACTATTTCATCTAGAATTTTCTATATTTAAAACCCAGTTAAAAACTGGAAGTGGCATTGTAGCTCAAGTGGTAGAGTGCTCGCCTTGAGCTGAAGAGCTGAGGGACAGCACCCAGGACCAGAGTTCAAGCCCCACGACCAACCAAAAACAAGACAAAACAAAACAAAAAATGCTTCTTAAGTAGAGCAAACAACAAAAGCCTGCAAGGGGAGAGTTTTGTGGGCTGTAGTCTCAGCTGAGTGGGGTCTCAGAAGATATGCTCTGCTCTGCATTCTGAGAGCCCATGGCAGCTGAATAAAATATGTTACAAATCAGACCATGGCTGTTACAGGGATTGCGTAAACTTGCTATTTTATGTATTGCTACTGGTTGTTTATATATATATGCATTTATACACACATAACACATATATATCTGTATATATAGATATAGATATAATAACTAATGGATGTGTCACTCAATGAACTAGAAATTTCCCATTTTAATCAAGAAATCTGCTTTATGTTTCAATACTTAATGATGATTTTTTTCATAATCTAAAAACAAAATCTTTTCTAAAGCTCTATTGCCTTGCTTTTAAAACCTGGTTTGATATACATAAAATAGCTCTTTCTTTTTGTGGCTGCAAATTGTTAGCACAATGTAAGTGAAACATGAGTATAGATAACTGATTTTTAAAGTCAGAAGAGTCGTTGTAAGGTGTGTGCTGCTTGGGATGAGCAGGAGGACAGAGAGTTAGAGTGTGCAAATGCCTCCATGACATCTCTCCCAATACTTTCCAGTAACTTTAAAGTTTGCATCTGTCTGAGAAGTTGTGTAGAGTAGAGGCAGTTGTGCAGGTAGAAGAGAAGCTGGGGCAGCCCAGCCTCTCACTTCTGCTTCTCTGGGAGGTTTTTGTTATGACTTGTGTCACTGTGGGAGGATAACTATCACTCTGTAGACAGAAATATGTTGCGGCATCTTCAGGCTGCAGGTTGCTGATGGCGAGAGTGAACTCTGTCCCAGATCCACTGCCACTGAACCTTGATGGAATTCCAGATTGCAAAGTAGTTGCATAACTGATCAGAAGCTTTGGAGCTTTCCCTGCTCTCTGCTGGTACCAATGTAAATAATTGCTAATGCCCTGACTGGCTTGGCAAGTAATCTTGACTCTGTCTCCCAGAGGTGATGACACTGATGTTGGCTGGGTCAACTGGATGTCACATCTGGCACCTGACATTGGAAACATAAAAGCCATTAGCAGTTTAATTAATTCTGCTGTCCAAGTACTTCCATGAACAGCCAAGTAGCTCCGCTGAACACTCAGTGAATAATCCCCAGTATCATCTTTCCTTACCTGCAACCCAGAGCAGCAGGAGCCCCAGGAGCTGAGCAAAGGCCCTCATGTCCATGCTGTATGCTGACTGGAACTTCTCCTGCACAGAGTGTGAGCAGCCTATGAAGAAGTTCCCAGTGTAGTGGGCTGTGCTCTAGGCACATGCAAATCAACATGGCTTGGGGAATGGGAGTCACAGCTTCAGCTGGCAGATCTCAGTGACAAAGCACACACCTGAAGAACCCAGATGTCCAATGCGCTTGTAGATAAGGTGTTTCTAGAGACAAGAAAACATTATGGTTCTGTTGGCCTGTGATAAGAATAGATTTTTTTCCCCCAGAGCTGAGGACTGAACTGAGGACCTTGCACTTTCCAGGTAAGCACTCTTCCACTGAGCTCAATTCCCAACCCCAAATAGAATTTTTAACATTTTCAACTTATCCATGACTTGCTATGATTTTCTTCATTTAAATCAGTCACTCAAAGACAAACATTTCCAAGGGAAATTAATTTTAGAATGTCCCTAACTCTGGTATCAGTGGAGTTTGTGATACAGAATTCTTAATTGTTTGCCTGAACCTTGTTAAATGGTTTAATAATAAACATTAGTACACAGACATGTGTTATAAAAGTGATAATACATGTGTAGGTAGAAAGACAGATAGATGCATTGATAGAAAGAGAGAAATGAACAGTTTTCAAAGTTTTTAATGGAAGGTAGCACTGAAATATGTGCAATAAAGTGTCATGATCAGAGGTATATGGACAATCCGTTGGTGCATTTATTGGTGTCCTGTGAACTCATATACATGACTGGATTGCTTCCCTTCTCAATGTTCTTCCCTATCGCCTCCCTCTAGAACAGTGCACCTCAGGTATTTCTTCTTTAGTTTTAGGAAAATACCTGGAATCATATCTAGCTTTGTGGGTATTATGCATGTATGTGCCAGATATTTCTGAACTTTTAGAGGACATTTGTTTCATCTGTTAATGGAAACTCTTCTTTCTCAGAAGCTGAGTTGTTCTGTAGACTGAGGACTCAACTCTACTTTAACTTCATTTTGCTCCTTAAGCTGCATAGTCCTTCAAGTTACATGTCTTTAAGTCCTAAGTCAAGCAGTTTTTTGTGTACTAGGCATAGTGCTTGACTTAGTCCCTGAGCTTTTGTGCTCAAGGGTGGTAGTGTGTCAAATGAGTCACAGCTTCACTTCCAACCTTTTGGTGTTTAACTGGTGACAGAGACGCATTGTCTTTATGTCCAATGTGACTTCCAACTCTAATCATCAGATCTCAGCCTCCTCTGTAGCTAGTATTATATGCATGACCACCAATAAAGCAGTTTTCACAAGTTGTATTTAGGAGATGTGATTCATATAGGTACAGAAATGACAAATTGCAATGAGGTCAAGGGTGGAGTTGAGAAACTGGAGCCACCCAGTTACCAAAGAACAGCTTTAACCTGGGGATTCACAGTGAAGCCAAAGTGTAGTGAAGAAGGTCTCCACATAGAGATTAGCATGTGGACATACTTCATCCCATTGTGTAGATTTGACAATCTAAACAATCATACCGGTGTTAGATGAACAGGGTGATCACATGGTATTTACCACTGGCAGTCCGAGAAGATGATGTGTAAAGATAACACTGCTCTTTCAAAACTAATAGACCATGAGTAACTCATTACCCAATCAGTGTTTACTTCAGTGCCATTTACTACCAGAACTTCATCTGAGTCTTGATTTGATGACCTACATCTTTTTAAATATTAATGTTCTCTGCACCACATGCTCACATAATTCTTCTACAATGCTCTTTTCCCCTAATTTTGATGATGATTTATAAGCTTCCCTAAAAGATATGCCAACCTCCTTTACTGTTCTGAAATATCACTTCTATCACATGGTCCCATGAATAACTCCTACTGCCCTTGCTGGGAGAGATCTGGTGTCTCTTACCTGCACTGCAGGACAAAGCTGGTACTAAAGAAAACCAGGAGAAGGCCTCTGACTGTGATAGTTGTGAAGGCAATCTGGTAAATTCAAGGAGCCATAATAATAGGATGAGGAAGACTGACCCGAAATGTATCTATTTGAGCGTGGTTAAAATCAGCCAGGCTCTGGGAATAACACATTACATTCTCCAGATCCACACTCCAGGGCTGCCTTCAGCATGTGTGGACATGTGGCATGGGACTTGTGAATTTGAAATCTGCACAGACTTCAGGTACTGAAATACATGGAAGACTTGGAATACTAGGCTCATATCAGAGCTGCCAGTAGGCATACACTGCCCTGAGGTGTGAGGAATGTAGCCACCAGGCTGAGAGATGAGGCTGAAAACCAAGGAAAGAGATGAAGACCAAGGAAGACATAAGAAAACATTTCTGAGGATCTTCCTGGAAGAAGAAAGAGCATACAGGAAAGAAAGGTGTTAATGGTCTGGGCCATGGACCTGAGTGAGGCCTGGGTCCAAAGAAAAAGTCTATTCTTCTCAGAATAGAGAGTAGCACTTCACAAATGAATGTAGAATTTATATATCTATTGTTCATATGTAGTAAATTACCTATAAAACTAAAGCATTAATTAATATGATTCTAATTGTCTACCTCAGCATTTTAAATTGTGACACTGAGAAAGAATGCTAGGACAATGAGCAGTTATATTTCTAGCCTGACATCATGAAGCTCAGGACACCATCTGTGCCTTTAAGGACAATCAGTAGCCTGTTCACTGCAGAGGACTCTTGGGAACTGCTGGGGACAGCACTGACACTGCAGCCCCCTCTCACCTCCCACAGCTGGACAGGGTGAGTTCACACGTTCCCTTCAGGGCTGTATATCTGCAGGGTCCACCCTCCTTCCCTCACCTTTCTGACCTGTCCTTAATGACTTCATTACAAGAAACCCTGTGCATCATCCTTGTCAGCTTTGATTACAGTTTACAAGATGGACATGGGGAGACACAATTCCCTCTGTAAACATGGTCCCACATGCCATGTGTGCCAAGAAAGCTTGAGATGAACTCCCTGGCTTCAAGCTCCTATGGACAAGGTTAAGTTTCAAGTTTTTCTTTGTGAGATTTGTTTGCCATCTAGTGGCCTTTTTATGACATAGCAGTAGACAAGATTTTCATTAGGAGATTTACGGTTCTTGGTTAATAGTTGTGCGGATTCCCAGGAGTTTTATATGTATAATCATGGAAATTCCATGATTATTTTATTGTTGGATAAATTGTAATTGTCATATCTTAACAACACGAGGTTAGTTTGTGATGAGAATCCCTACCTGAATGCAGCTTATTTTGAAAAAATCACCACCTCCTTTCTATTGCTATACTCTTCCTCTCCCACTCCCACCATTTTTCATACTGTGTAAAGGAACTTCATAACTCAAATGCACACGTGAGTATATATATATACATGTATATCTATTTATTTATATACCAATTCATCTTCTACACTTAGTGTGCTTTTGTCCCTTTCTTTCACCCTTACCTGTCTCCCTTCAGATATTTTCCATTTTGGCATTCATGTTTTATTATTATTATTATTATTATTATTATTATCAATGCCATCATCACCATCACCACCATCATCGCTACCATCATTTAAGTCTGGGTTCCACAAGTAAGTAGGACCGAACACTATTTTGCTTTTGCATCCTGACCTATGTCACTCAATATGAAGATCTAGTTCCTTCATTTCCTTGCAATTTACATGATTTCATTGTTCTTCTCCCTCTGTCCTTACCAGCAAGCCAGAGCATTAGCAGCCCAGGAGCTTACTAAAAGAATTCTTTTTTAAGAGTCCTGATAGGACAAGACAAGGGCAAGCTGAGCCTTCATCTCAGACTCAAAAAGGAAAGTCCTCCTTAGGGAGCACTATGCAAATTAGCAGGTGGGTGCAGCAGTGTAAAGGGAGCACAAGGCGGGCAAAGGCCTCTTGTGTGACAAACTGCAAATTATATCCACCTGGATGCCATATTTCAGAGGCTCAGAAGTAAAGATCTGTGTTTTTTATAAGACACCAGAAGCATTATCTGGTTGGTGCTCCTGAGCCTGATGGAAGACAGACAGACAATATTGAGATGGTTGTCAATGACCCCCTCTACCAAATCTCCCAGTGACCTTCAGAGCCTGGCTGTGGCTGAGATGCACTGTAAGCAGGCCGAGCCACCAGAAGGGGCAGCTGGCACAGCCCAGCCTCTCATATTTGCATCCCCCAGGGAGGTTTATATTTGGTCTTGTATCACCATGGGAGTTGAACTATTTATTACTCATTTGACAGTAGCAAGTTGCAATATCTTCAGACTGCAGGCTGCTGATAGTGAAAGTAGACTCTCTTCCCCATCCATTGCCACTGGATGTCACCCCAGTGTAAATTGGATGGCCAATAAATCAAGAGTTTCGGAGCATCGCCTTGTTTCTGGTGATGCCACTGTGAATCATCACTAATCCCTGATTGGATCTGCAAGTGATGGAGACTGTCTCCTACAGATGCACACAGAGAGGATGGACACTGGAAAATGGGGATGTCACATCTGGCCCCTAATATTGAAAACAGACACCAAATATCCACAGAATCAATTATGTTCTGGGAGTTTACATGAGGAGTGAGGCATCACTGTTAACCCTGGGCTCAATAAATTCCTAGTCTTGTCCTTCTTTATCTTTGAGTCAGAGCAGAAGGAAGCCTTGGTTGAACAGGGGTGCTCACTCATCTTATGTGCTGACTGGGACTGACTTATGCACAGAGTGTGAGCAGACCATGGAGAAGGGTCCAGGAAATTGGCTGTGCTGGAGCACATGTAAATCCTCAGGAGCTGGGCACAGCTGCAGGACCTGGGCACAATCCCTGAGCTTTCTTGCTTGAGGCCCATGACCTAGGCATTCTAATATTTGATTCAAAGGAGTGGAGAGTGTGGACATCCTTGTTTCATTCCTGAATTTAAAGGAAATGTCTTTAACTTTTTGCCATTTAGTATAATGCTGGCTGTATGTTTATCATATACAGCATTTATTGTATTGAGGAATGTTCCATAGATTCCTAATTTTTCCAGAGCTTTCATCATAAAGGGCTGTTGGATCTTGTCAAATACTTTCTCTGTATCTATTGAGATAATTGTGTG